ACCAATCTGATTGGGACGACTATATAACTTTTGCCATGTTTAGCTACAACACTAGTATCCATAAATCAACAAATTTCACCCCATACGAACTGTTATTCGGTCGTAAAGCTTATTTGCCATCGTCAATTACTCAAGAACCAAAATTCCATTACACATACGACGATTATGTTCGTTCCTTACAACATAAGTTGAATACTTCCTTTAAGTTAGCTCGAGATCACATTCTAGTATCAAAAGAGAAAAGCAAAGAAATTCATGATCGAAATTTACATCCTCAATCATTTCAAGAAAATGACTTAGTATGCATTTACAAAAATCAAATTAAGCCTGGCTTATCAAAAAAATTAACATCAAATTTTAGAGGACCCTATAAAATCATTCGTGTACACCGCAATAATACTGTTGATCTTCAAATCGGACGTAAAATTGTTAGATACCATACTAATCTCCTGAAACACTATTTTTCAGATGATCCTGATAAAACTAATAATCTTGCTCCTCCTCAACCTTCCTCTTCCAATCATGGGACAAACTTATAAAAATAAATTACTTACCGATTCTAGTGGTATATTTTATGACAAAAAAGGCATTGCTAAAATATCGAATTCTAAACTTACACTAATCACTCACGTAAATTTTATTTATTTAAACGATATTAAAACAGTATTTTTAAATAGTCTGATTAAATCTAAAAGTCTCTGTCAAACCATTTCTAAAGAAAGTAATAGTATTCCAAGTGTTCCAATTCAATGTAATAAAACAATAGATCAAATGGAAGCAAACGCTGTAGAAATAATAAACAAAAATAATATTCTTAAACAGTTGATCGATATACAGTCGATATCGAAAAAACGTTGCGGACTCATGAACGGTGTTTCTTATGCCCTAAATTGGCTTTTCGGTACGCCTGATGCTGACGACGCGAAATACTACTCAGACAGTATAAAAATGTTACTTAATGATAATACACAGACCCAAACACTTTTAAAATCACAAATCCAGATCATTTCTAGTACAATAAAAAACTTTAATAATTCCCTAATTTCTCTGAGAAATCAAGAACAAACAATGAATACTAATGTGAGAAAACTAAACGATTTTATATATGATACTCATGACCACTTAAAACGATTACTATTGCAAACGTTAATCAATGAGCATCTAACTTCTCTTTCTGCTCTTTCAAATCGAGTACTTTCCGAATACACTGAAGCTATTGAAGCCATAAATTTAGGAAAACATAACATTATAACTCCAACTTTAATTACTCCAGATATCCTACTAGAGGAATTACATAAATATAAAGGAGATTATAACTTATTGTATGAACCAAATGCAGAAAATATTTTGAGCTTGTATCACCTTCTTCGAATAGACATAGTTTTCCATCATGGAAATATAATATTTGCTTTAAAACTTCCATTGGTCAATAAGAACGATTATGATCTCTATCAACTAATTCCACTCCCAATTCAACATCAAAACACATCCATCTTCTCCTATATTAATCCTACGTCACCTTACCTATTACTATCAGTTTCCAAAACCCAGTATACCTTCCTGCAAGATTTAATAGAATGCAATGAATACTCTGGACAAAAGTACATATGCTTCAATGTACACACCATCAAAGCTACCGACGCAACTACTTGTGAACTGCAACTGTTGACTCCGCATATTCAGCAAATTCCAGAAGATTGTAATACCAAAACAATCAAAGCAAAAATCGAAGCCTGGACTTACATCAATCACAATCAATGGATCTACGTCCTACAACAACCAACAACATTAACAATTGTCTGCAAAAATAGCAACAATGTTGAAGACATCACCCTGCACCAAACAGGAATTCTCCAACTTCAAAGACAATGTAAAGGATACACTAATACATATTTACTAGAAACAAACAACTACGCTGACGAAAACATCACCTATTTTATACCAAGTCCAACAATCATCTATGACGACTGCTGTATTCCGTTATCTAAAATACAAGATAAAGCAATTCTCCAATTACAACCAATTAAACTCACAAACCTGGATCTAAATGACCTAAAATTTGCAAACAAAAAATTAGACGAATTTAATAACATAATAACGAGAAGATTGACCGAACCTTTCATCGTCACACACACCCACTGGTACACGATAGCCCTAGGTCTGATAGGAGCTCTCATACTTATCATCATAATATCCAATTGTTGCCGTTGGTGTGGATGCTTGAAGTGGCTCAAACGTTTATGCTGTTTCACCCGGAACCCTCAAAATGGAGAGTATCTACCACCCATGATCAAAAACTTCGTAAATTGCAATTTTGGTCAAGACATTCGACAAGATACAAACCGAGATTTAGTCATATATGAACGAGTAAGACAAAATCAGCCAGTACTATCTACACTCCCAGAAATTCAAGAAGATCAGAACGAGACAGAACCTAAAGCCGTTATCCAACATCCTCAACTAAGGACAAGAAGAAGCACAACACCTTTGTAAAAACATATATATTCATAAAACAATTTTATATAGTTATCTAAGACATAGCTGTAAGTTATTTTACTGTTTACCAGTCATAATCTTATGAAACTTAATTATAAACTCAATTGTTATTATCAACATTAACATCTTATATCTTATATTTTACATTTCATAAAAAATCATACTTTTATATAGTCTAAATAATCATAAAATTGTAATTTTCTAACTTAATTAATTCGAGAGTATTGAAAACCAGTTTTCATACTAAAAAAGGGAGATGTTATATATCCTGCCCTTATATTATAACTTAGTTTATCTATGTATATCTTATCTAGCTTTTTAAATTCTTCAAACCCCTTTTTTCTATATCCTGTCATAAAACTGCACTTTAATATTTCCCCAGAAAACTACACTTTCCAAAATTCCCGAAATCCTCAACTACCTGATTCGACACAGTTTCACTAACCAAAAAAAAAAACAGCCTTACGTCACCAAACAACAACCCCTTCTATCCTGAATTTCATCCCATAAATACATCCCATTTTAAGGAACATACCCACTCTTTTCTAAGACACCAACCTGTCTACTTGTCTTCTATTTTCTAAATTATACAATTTTATATCAGAACAGCTGTAACCTGTACAAACTATTAAGTTTTAATAAACTCGAAGTAGAACTTAAATTCGTGTTTCATTGGCTATACAACACTCTATTCTCTTATGAAATTACTGGATTCCAAAGAACGAGGGATGGAAGGAGAACCGTGTAATTGTTATTAATTTATTAAACTCTTTATTAACTAATTTAACAAGTACATAGAATAATTATTTGAGATCAGACTTGTGCTACAGCTATGGCGGTAACAGATAAAAAACTCTTCAGCCGGTGAATCAGGTTGTCCAATCGACTAGTTTTGTATTTTCCCGCTTGGGGCCTAGAAGTCCCTAGTTTATGCTTCGCCACCAGGGGCGTGGTGGTACCACCACCACCGCCACACTCTGATCATTTCACTATACTCTGGTGTCGAAGGCACTAACTAAAGTACAAATCTAGCAGATTCTCGCTTGATCAAGTACTACCAAAAATAAATTTCATTTGTAAAGAAAACACAACAATAAATATATGTGTTCGAGTTGACATGTGTAATAATTAATATTAACAATAAGTTTTATTATTGTAAACCTGTCAGTATTCAATTGATCATATGGTCCATCTAACCAAATCCAAATGAGGCTTCTTTGCTCAGCTTCATCATAAATTTAATCGCCAAGTATCAATTATTCGACCAAATATATCCAATATGGTCTACTAGATTTATGAGGGTATTGTTATCACAACGGGGCGTATTTCAATAAGTAGTAAAATTAGTAATAATAGATACGAATAATTCGACAACTATAATTTGTTTTTTCTGTCATTTAACTTTATATGTTTTCATGAATTCGTACAGCCATTTATCTCTTTCTAATTATGAAAAATTTTTTAATTATAAAGATTTCCTTTAATGACAGGAATCCCTCAAACCTGCAAAAAAGAACAGCTATAAATTTTGCCACTGCATTTTGGAAAAAAAAGAAGTAACAGAAAAAGTTTTTTTATGATTTATGACGATAAGGAAATTTCGAACAACAATCTGTCATTTTTAACGCGGCTATCAACTAAAACACTTCGATCAAAAAATTAACATTGATAAATTCTCAAGATAATGGAATAAATGGCTGTACGAATTCATGAAAACATATAAAGTTAAATGACAGAAAAAAAATTATAGTTGTCGAATTATTCGTATCTATTATTGCTAATTTTACTACTTATTGATTTTTTAAAATATACATATATCATCCAAGTACTTTTTAGTTTTAAATTTCAGTTAAAATAAAAAATAATTTTTCCAGTTAATAATTGACTTTACGACTACTCTCACGAATAGAATTTGTTTATAACAGCCTGTAATTGTTATAAATAATGAAAAAACATCAATATTTGTTGGAGTTGAGTTTTTCCAGCTGAATTTGTTTAATATCGACTGAATAAGGTATATATTTTTAATAGATATATGAATTGATTCAATAATATTATCATCAACACAATTTTTAAAGGACTCTGGTCAGGCTCATTTCCTGTAGAAACTCTTCATTCTTTATAAAATCTGTAATTTTTTTTTAGAATTATTATAATACCATTCAGTTGTGTCAATGGGCAAGATATGAATTCTGTAGGTTCGTGATCGCCATTTTAATTTCTATTCAGATTTGTATATTACATTTGATATTTTATAGCTTTTTGGTATTTCTGATTCCATCGCCAGTTCCCTTTATAAATTTTTGTAATCTTATTAGAATTCCTTAACAGGAAAAATTAGAATTCTATGGGGTTATAAAAAAAACAGGGAAGTTTGCATAAATTTAAATTGATTGAATTAGTTTTATTTTTATTAAATTACTCGATTTTATGGAGTATGTAAGAACAGAAATTTATTTTTGTTATCAGAACATAAATTATAAATTTTTTCAGTTTTTTTTTTAATAATATCATTATTTATCATCTAATCTCTACTAGTACTAATTATTTAGAAACATTTTTATTTTGGTCATTATCTTCATATGACTGCTCATTTGTAACTGATTCATGTTGATTATCAATATAATCGTTACTTGCATAATTATCATATTGTTGCTGATCAAGTTGGTTTGGTTGATTATTATCACCAGATTCTTGTTGGTAAAAAGAAGGATCGTATTGTTCATATTGTTGATAGCTTTCATTTGAATATTGTCCTTGGTAATTAGGATCGTGTGATGCATAGTCTTGATAATTTTCATTTTCTTCTGATGTAAATTGTGATGAGTCTGTAACTTGGTTTTTATTTTGCTCGCTTTCATTGTAAAGATGAGAATAATTTTGATTATCATTTAAAGAATATCCTGTGTTTATGTCTTCTCCATGAGATGTGACATTTTGGTTTGGTGATGGTTCTATCGATGATTCTGTTCCTGGCGATTTTCCTGAACGATTTGAAATATAATTATTAAACATGTTGTTTTAAATAAATCAAATATTTTTTTATTAATGAAATAATAAAAAGTAACAAATAATAATAAACCTTTTTGACTTTCAAATGTTTCTTTTATTTTTTTCGTCAAAAATTCTATGTTGTTTTGTAAACTGGCCATTTCTTCCCTATGAACAAAGAAATTTTCATTTTTATGTTGATTAAACACAAGAAACGACTGAATGATGAACACCTACAGTCTAAAATAACATGTCAATAAACTATTGCTGTGCTGAAAGAGGTGCCTGAGCGGATTTCAAAATGACTGACTTCTTTTTTGGGTTTATTTTAAGTTTAAGATCAACCTTTACAGTACGCTTCTTTTTTGAAGGGGTGGTTGCCAAGTTAAATGACCCATCAGCCGCATCACCTGCTTTCTCTGTCAACACATAATAGCTGTAGACTAAGTGAAGACATTATTTTGTAAAATATAAATAAATTTTAAGGATAATGAAGAATATATTGTGAAATTCAACAAAATTTCATTCAGTTTATCGAGATACACATTTCAAATTAAACTGATCATAAATAGACTTTCAGATGCGATTATTAATTTTAGGTAGCTCTAATTCGATTTCTCATTAAAATAGTTTTCATGTTTAAAAGAAATAAGATAACATGGCTGATAAATGAACAAGAACTAGTAGCTGGACAGATTTAAAAATCTTTTAGTATTAACCTTTAGGCTACGGGGAAATCAGTACAAATTGACCTCTCAGAATATGTAAAAAGTATACATAATATTACTAGATATTTCAGATAGAGTCACTGACCCGACTGCTAGTCCATATATTGATCAGCCCCACAGGCAACGTAAAGTACAATGTAAAAAAATTTATCTCTTTTGTTATGAAAATTTGGAAGGGTATTTCTATGTAATTTCACGCGCTGAATTTAAAAAGAATAGTAACAAAACTCTCGCAGACACCCTTAACCTTGAAAATCACCATTTAAAGATCACATTTCATTCTTCGATTACACTAAAAATGAAATTTGACCTCGAGAATCAATATTCAAGAATGTTTAGAGAAATTTTAAAACTATTTGTTATGTATTCAGGACATCAAATTTGATGTAAAAACTTCAAATATTCTATGTCTTTAGAGTGATCCATATATCGACCACCCCTGTAGCCTAAAGGTGAATAAAATTGGTATTAAACTAATATTTAATCTTTTTTTTTTTAATAAATCAATCAATTTTTAATTTGATTTCCTATTTGCTTATAAGTAGTATCTACTTGATTTCTTGCTATAGAATAATTCGAACGAATATCTACCTGCTTTTTGTTTAAAAAATTCAAAGAAATGTACAATATGACTCATCTATAAATAAGTATGAAACCTATGAATAAAATATTATAAAAATACATGATATATACTCCTAATTATGAATAAACCTAAGGTACCTGCTCAACTATTTATCTATTAGCCTTGTTACCCTATTACACTAAAAATTTAAGCATCTATTGTGTGAAAATTTATAATTAGAGTGGTACTTGTGTGCACGGTTGTTAGCATCCAAACGCTGTGTGAGAGATTGGCATTCGGCAGTCAGTCGCGAGACGAGTTTCGCTTGATTGCTGACAGAATCTTCAAGTCCAGCCACTGTAGCAGCTAGAGAATATTTTTTTATTTCTTGAAAACCAATTCTCTTTAGTCAATTTTAAGTAAAAATTGACTAAACTATCTATCTACCCATGCTAGGCATAGTGTCAAGATGCCGATTTCCCACACAAATTTTGTCTTATGTGTAACTATTTCAATTTAACCATTCTCTACTGATATTCTTAATTATCCAATACATTTTTTATTATTTAAAAGTATTTTTTTATTATTTTAAGCCACAGACAATATACCCAACACAGGCATTGTTTGTTACATCTCACCATGCTTTGTTTCCATCTCCATTATCATTGACGTCAAATCTTTTTCATTTTCTACTCTTGGTGTTGCTGCTGGTGTTTGGCCTTCACTGGCATGAGCTATTTTCTCCATATTCAGCTGCAATCAATAATTTTATACTGTTATCATCATTATGTCTCTTCAACTTATTAAAGATAAGTAAATAAATTAAAAATTAAAAAAAAATCAAGAAATCAGACAAGAAATAAAGTATTACAAGTTTATCTCCAAGACTTAAACCATAAAATATGAATCAATTTCCTTTCTTTCAAGTTTCAAGAACTCACATAAAATTACAAATTAATTTCTGAATCTATTTTCACCATTTGTTGGGAATTATTTTAGATCACGAACCTCTTGGAATATTTAGTTTATGAGTTCAAATACCTCTTTCTCAAGAGAAGCTATTTGCTCAGATAATCGAAGATTCTCTCGGCGACAATGAACTATATCCACATCAGCTCTTTCCAATCGCTGCTTGTAAGAATTTATTTCTATTTGGCAACGACTTTGCTCCTGACGTGCATGTCTTTCATTGCGCTCTGCTGCCAATTTTACGGTTGCTAATTCCTGTTCCACGGCATCTTTTTCTGCTGCTAATTGATTTATATCACTCTGCAAGTTAGCTTATAACAGAAAAAATAGAGGGTAATTTTATTTACTCAAGATTATTTACTTTGTTTTTGTATTGAAATAAAATGGAAATCAAGATTTATAGTAATTTAAATTCGGAGCGTAGTTTTTTTTTTATTTTTTCAGTTATACTCATTAATTTCTTTATTGAAATTGAACGCTTGATAGAGGTTAATATTTTTCATAAAAAATCAGTAATTTTGTCCTATTTATATTCAAATAATCGCACTTAATGGATTTTTTTTAAGTTTAAATGATGATAAATAAAGCAAATAATCTTGAAAATTAAAAAATGAAATGTTTTTTCTAAAATCTATATCTTAAAAACATCTATTATTGTTATCAATCAAATAGGAATTAATTATAATCACTAAATCAACTCGTTAATTCATGTTGATATTTTTTTAGATAGTCCTGAGTTAAAATGTTATATGAAAAATGACTTTACGTATTAAAATAAATATTATATCGATCATAAAAACTTATTACTTGTATCAATTATTCATTTTACTCACATGTTTTGAGAAGCATTTCTTTTTTTAGATCATCATTCATCGCTTGCTTTTGATTCAACTCTCTTTTAAGATCAGCAATTTCTCTTCTCTGTTTATCTATTTCTAACTGTGATTTAGAGGCAGCATCCCAATGAGTAGCAATATCAGCAGTTAATTGTTCAACTTGTTGACTATATCTACGTTCAACTTGATGTCTTTCTTCAGCTAAACGACGACTTGTGTCTTGAGTAGCTTCTCGAATCTTATCTCGTTGTCTTTCTAACTCATCTTTGAGTCTCCTGATTTCAGATTCCAGTTGACTTTTATCAAATTCTGCTTGCTGAGCTAAATCCTGAGCTCTTTTTGCCTTCTGTGTAGCTTCCATTTCTTTTTCTCGAACACTTTTTAGGTTTCTCAAAGCTTCATCTAATTTGGAATTGAGTTCCCTCTTTTCTTTCATTAGTTGGTCCAACTGAGCCATTGTTTCAGGACTTGAAGAACTTGAACCACCTTCAGACATTTTTTTTATACAATTTTGGTTTTCTTCCTGAGCTTTTCTCAATTCGATTCTAGCTTGAGTCAACTGAGCTTCTAATTCACTAATTCGTGATTCAAAAATAATACTTGGACCTTCAGTAACCTGATGAAGTTTTATTTTCTTTCCAGAAGAAAATTCTCCATCATGTAGGTTTATATGTTTCGTCCCATCAATTCTTTTTGTGTCTTTATTACTATCAAACTCATTGAGGAAAGATTTAAGTAAAGTTGTTTTATTTTTGTCATGCAAAGCTTCATTTTCTGCAACAACTTCTCGAATTTTTTCAAGTAAATTCTTCAACTCGTCTTTACAAAACTGTGATTCACTTTCAAGCTGTTCAATATATTCTTCCTGACGCATGATGAGAGTTGACAGTTCTTTTGGTGAGATTTGAGAATCATCTGTCATCAATGCCGATGTTAAAGGCAAACGATTCTTATCAGAAATATTTTCTCGTAATAATAAATTTGTTGATAATCCTTTGGAACATTCACTTATACTTCTTTCATCAGTTTCGTCTCCAGATTCATGTAATTTTGTGTTACTACGTCTGTAAATACTTCTATCTCGTAGTACTTTCCTATAAAAAAAATTATAATATTTTTTTTTCTAGTTTTTAAATATTATGTAAATTTTCAAATACATTTGAAAAAAAGGGATCATACCCGCTTCTTGAAGTGTAAGATTCTGCTAGTAAACATTTCAATCTAGAAACAGCTTCTCGGTACACTGTATCAGTATAGTCAGGTATTTTCTTCTTCGTTGTGTCCATCTTTTGGAAAGAATTTATTCTTCTGCAAAAATGATTTATTATAAATTATTAATTACTTTAAAAAAATTACAGTAATTAAAAAAAATTACAGTAATTAAAAAAAATTTTTTTCAAAAAGGTTCAATTATTTAATGCAAATAATGATCTAAATATAAAAGCAGTTTAAAATAGTAAAAAAAATGTCTGAGAAAAGTGTATATCACTTTGGAATTGAAATCTACCATTTAGATTAAATATAATTAATATTGAAAATTACGATAATAGATATAAATAACTTAAAAACAGCACAATTAAGTTATTAAGTTTTTTGAAAAAATAACAAATTCAATAAATTTTTCTGTAATTTTATTCTGGTATCATTATCTTCTATCTGTTACCATTGTTTATGATCAAATTTTTTCAATATTCCATGTTATTAATGTCGAAAGAAGTTATAGTATTATGTACAATTTTTTTTTTCAATGGCATTAATTCAATTAAAATTAATGAACTGAAGAAGTATTATAAATAAAAACTTATAAAAACTATTGTGGTTAACATTCAGGCCAAAACTGATATAAACAAACAAAAATAATACACGAGAGACAAGTAATTGTATTTAGTTTTAAGCTAATTAAACTTTTGAAATATCTACCACCACCATTTATCAAGCAAAAAACACCACTCATCAATACCCACCTAATTTTGAATCTTTTTGGTCTTCCAAATGGAGCATTTTCAATATGAGTAAAGTTGGAAGTATTTCTTGGTTTGTAATAAGACCTCACCAGTAATTTAGATCGAGAAGACAAAATTCCAGGAGAAGTGACACCAAAAGTAGATGTTCCACCCATACGACATCGTCGAGGGTAGTTGCTAGTCGTCAGCATTCCGCTGGCACTATGGCACGCAAGGTAGCTTAACAAGCTTTACATATAAGCTCCGATCGATTATGATGAAGAAGAAATATACGGTCACACGTATACTATTAGTCGAGAAATCTTGTTCAAGCTCTTGGGGTTTGTAGCTAAGTCAACCAAGTAAATAGAACTTTAGCTTAACAGGACGTATAGCCAGCGACTGGTAGTGAATGGCGTGCAGCGAAGTCATATCATCCGTGCTCAGAAGGGACAGGCACCGTACTATCGAACACGCTATTTTCATACCTGGATTCTATTTTTTTTTTCTTTAACATCTTTAATATTATTTAATAATTACTGTTAACATAAACTAAAAATCATCAATCAACTATTTTAATAACGACTGTAAACATAAAATTATCAATTATTCTACATCAATTACATGTTTAATTCTACATTTGATTAAATAAATGACAAGTAACTTACCTTTGATTTTGTTATTTAAATATTAGGATTTTTTTAAACCAATAAATAAATTTAAGTAATCAATCGATTTCCCAAATAGTATATTTAAAAACCAATTACAATGTGTTATAACATTAAGAAATAATTATTTTCCTTATATTAAAAAATTATGATTTTATTAATAACCACTCTTATTGCACTATATTTTGAAGTTAATATTATATAAAAATAATTATATGTAGGAGAAGGAAGAGTACAGAGAAACGCTTGAGGAAATTTACGAATTTATCAAAAAAAGCTTAAAAATACTTTATGTGCTTTTTGTTTATTAATTTTTCAATTGATTGATGCATTTAAATTTATACAAATTTTTTAATACATTTATTAATTCATTGATTTATGTTTTGTCTCCGTATGCCACTATATTCCTCCTTCCTCTATATTTATATCGTTTTTAAGTTCTCAGCAGAAAGCTATCAAAATGGTTCTGATTTTCTAAAGTCTAAATTTGGACATATTTCTATATTTCAGAATCAAATATTGATATCAATATGGGATAAATTACATTTAATGTATATTTATGCAACTAAAACTTGATTAACTTTCTATCAAAATCAGTCGAACAATTTTTTGTGTTAAATAAATTAACTTAAAAAATAGTCAACTAGAGGAATTTTACAATTTATAAATTGTAATATTTACTAATCTGGATTTTGAATATAATCAGAATAATTCTCCTCTTCATTATTATATTCTTCAAAACATTAATAAATTGTTTATAAATTTAATAAAAAGAACGTAAAGAAATTTGTTATTATGAAAAAAGCAAATAATAATTTACAGAATATTAAACTTATAACTATCTATATATATATGCGTTAAAAGTACTCATATATATATAGACAGGGTCCCTATTTTTATTGTTTATAACAATTTAAAACTTATTATTTAAATATTACTATGATCAATGATCACTTGTTAGTAACAATGTTCAATTGTTATGAACACAATTCCATATTATTAACAATTATTATTGATTATTATAGCGTCTTTAATGCTGTTTTCTCAATCCTGACACGAGTTTAAAATTCTTTCATTGCTGATTTTGTTTTTTAAAATTTTTTTTTTCGATGAAATATTGTCACTATATTTTCATACAAGTATTCTAATCATTTAATATTCATATTTTTTAAAAGATTTTGAAATTTGATTGAAAAACGGTATAATTTATAAATTGCAAAATTCAGGTCGTTTTCCATTTTTGCTAGTTTTTTGGTTCTGCAAAAAAAATGGTTGGACCGATTATGCTGAAAATCTAATCAGTTCTAAGTTACATAATTACGCGTCGAATACAATTGGTCCCACATCAATATCATTTTTTGTTCTCGAGATAATCGAGGCGAAAAATAATTCCGAACGCACATACGTACATACGCACACACAGACGTCCACTGGAAAACGATCGTATTCGACTCTGGGGACCTTAAAACGTGGAGATATGTCAAAATTCGGGATTCGCAAAATCGGACCCATTATTGTAACTTCCCACTGGGAAGTTAATAATAACTACATATTATTTCAATAGCAATTAAACGTTGTTAATAATAATTAATTTTTTTTTAATACAATAAAACTTTCTTAATTTCAGATTTCCTATTTTTTGTATGTATTTTTTTCCAAATTAAGCATTCTTATTTTCACCCTCGGTTGTAGTAGCTGATGAATGTTGGTCGTCTGAACCCAAGCCCAAGTCACTTTCCAAGTTTTGATAATGTGACAGATCTAAAATCATGAATAAAAAATTATTATTTATTAAAAATGTTTAATGACATAACTAAGTATCATATAATTATTTTAAATTTCTATAATCTTATTTTTAGTAAATAATTAATTCAAAACATCAAGTTTTTTAAAGTAGAGTTAAGAACATTTTTACCTATATTTAATGTATAACCTTAAAGATGTGAAAAAAATTGCAATTCATAATTACCACAACACCAAATACTTTGGAAATGGAAAAATTAAAATTTTTGAAAACTTTATAAAAAATTATAATTAATATTAATCCATAGAAAGATTGAATTATGTATCTATATGGTTTGATCCAGTTTGTTCTGTACTATGTAAACGCAACTAGTTTTTAATTTATATCAAGCTTGTTTTGATATTACAATCATAAAATTTAAGTCATTTAATGAATTACTTCACATATTTTTATTTCAATAAATGAAGCAAATGAATTGTAAAGTTTGTAAATTATTATTTACATTATTTTAATTATCATTAATGATAATCTTTTTTATAAAACAGTCTATTTTTTTTGTTATTTGTAGATGTGAGTGCACAGAATTAACGGAAAACTTGCCTCAGCATTTCTCCAAATCCATCAAATCACAATAAACTAATCATCGAATGGTTTAAATCTGATAATCATCTTGCAATTAGCTATCTCTTATAGATTCAAATAAATCTAGTGTTAAAAATATATACTATTAGAAAGATTGCAATTCTACTAGCTTTTAAAAGAATCGAGCAAGAAAATTAAATTTATTTTTTCTATTTTTAATCCAACTGAAAAACTTTTTATTGTTTGGATCTAATGATATTTTAGATCCTTATCATAATCAGCACATAATATCAGTTCAATGTCATAAAAGAAACAACTTTCAATGTCTACACTTGGTAATTTATCTTGCTAGGTAAGAATGATAATAATCTAACAAATATGAGAACAATCCTTCTGGGGTTTACGATAAATTGTTAGGTAATTAATTTATTCCCATGCTATAGAAATATTAAGTTTTCAAGAACAACAGAAAAAATGAATCAATTTTCTAAATTAAATACTTCTTTCTCACAGAAAAAAAAAATAATAAATTCAAAATATACTTAACAATATGTTTTTTTATCTAAAAAAATATAAACTCTCAATAGGAATACACAATTGGAGCTGAAACCCCAATAGGATCTTAGAAATGTACAATCTATTGAAAGTCTACTGTGCTGAATAAAGACCAAAAATTTTTCTACGTGCTTTTATTATATACCAAGGGAAAGAAATAAAATTAAAGAAATGTGTAATTTGAATATCTTTTATTTTCTCTTCTAATATAGTAAAAAACCCAACAACCAATGTTATACTTTAACAACTGATAATTATTTTCAAATTATCAGAAAGGTAAAAGCTATTCAAGATAAAATATATCAAATGAATCATTTATGAATGCATAATTAATGAAACATAAGCTTGTTTCAGAGTATATTATCAGGTAATCACTTAAAAATATTATCATCGAGACGGTATTTAGAAGAAGATTGTATCAGTAGTCAACAACTACACGTGTTAAGTGATAAAGCCGGAAAAAATTTAATTGAACTCAATATTTATTAATTATTAGAATATATCATAAAAATTTTCAATTAATAAAAAAAGATATAGCATGAATAAGATAATTATTGACTGTAAAATGATATATAGTGTGTATTTACATACAATCAACTTGGTTGGTTAGTAAAAAATATAGATGAAATAAGACTTAAAAAACTAGTCCTGGAAAAAATAGACTCAGGAAGAAAGTGACTTTAGAAAAAATAGATGATGAGAAAAATAAAAGGTGTTATAAAAATAGTTTAGGAAACAAACCATGATCTGTAATCATTGACATAGTGTAAACCAGGGTTGGCTTTTACTTTTGGGAATAGAGAGAGAAAGACTTAGGGAAAATTTAACATAGGCCTAATGCCTTTGTCATTTACAATAACAACTGTAGTCTACCTGGGGAATAGTAACAGCAAGCGTTGCCCAGTACTGGTGTAAACTATTTCATTATTAAGTAGTTCTTTGACATTCAATCTTGAAAACACGTGCAGTATATTAATTTATGCTTCGACAGCAATTCTTATCAATCATTATAGATTCCGGCTATTTATTGTTTCAAAACTATTTAGTAATTTTCAAAAATTTGGTGATAATTATAATTTTGATCTTCTTACATAGTCCACGAATATCTTAAATAGACTTCTCATTCGTCTCAGAGTTCAGTGTTTGGTGTGCAAGAGACTATCGCGTATCGAATAAATTTGACATTTGAAACTTTTATTTAAATAATTTATTTATTTATAACTGCATATGTTGAGAAAATAATTTGCAATGTTAGAAGTACTAAGCTCATTATTCTCAACTTTCACAACATTATCTGTCGTCACCTTAATTTTATTTCACTTTTACGTTCATGGAAGAAGAATAGGACGTATTACTGATAAAATTCCTGGACCAAGATGGTATCCAATCATTGGGAATGCACTTGATTTACTAGTACCAACAGGTAAATATTGTTTTCTTTTAAATTTAAAACAAATCAATGTTAAAGTTTGTTTACAATGTCTATTGAATCATTATTAATTTATTTAATCACTATTGAATACATTTTTTTATTATTGTATGATTTGGTAAAATTCTAGAGAATATTTGGCATTTTTTCCGCCGATCTGGACGAGATTTTTATCCTGTTTATAAATTTTGGGTTGGTACCTTCCCCATTGTCAACATTAGACACCCTGATGACATACAGGTAATTATCCTTTTTTTTTTAATTTATTGTTCAGTTAAATTAAAAAAAAAATTAAACTAATTAATGTGTTGGTTTTTTTTAATAGGCTGTGTTAAGCAGCTCTAAAAATATTGAAAAGAATCATTTTTATAAATTTTTACATCCATGGTTACAAGATGGACTTTTAACTAGCACAGGCAAGTTTATCTGAACTGATTTATCAAGTATTATAATTAAATTGATATAAAATTCGCAATCAAGTAATAGTGATGAAAATAATAAATACATATTTCTTATTAGGAAATAAGTGGAGAACTCATAGAAAAATTCTCACTCCAGCATTTCATTTACATAATTTAAAAGAATACAGCAGTTCTATAATTGAACATACCAATCGTTTGGTTAAGTCACTTAAAACAGAATCAACATCTGAAGGAATTATCAAAGAACTTCACCCACTATTGACGAAATTTACATTGAATACCATTTGTGGTAAATATTAATTTATATAATTTTTGAAAATGAATGACAGTAATTTAAAAACAAGATGTTAATGAAATTATGTCACAATAGAGTCTGCCATGGGAATGAATATAACTGAGAATGATGAACATCAAAATAAATACAAAAAAGCTGTCTGTGATTTTGGAAATCTTTTTTATTACAGGTAAATTTATTTAATTCAATGAATTATTCTTGGTTAATTATGTGCCAATATTGGAAATTGTATTTTAATGAACATTCATAATTCTTGATTATTAACAGATTTGTACGACCATGGTTGGAGAATGATTTTATTTTTTCATTAACAAAAAAAGGTAAAGAGCAAAAAGAAATACTCAAGATACTTCATGGCTTCTCTAAAAAGGTAAAACAGTAGTCACCTGAACATATTATTCTTTACTATAATAATCATAAATTTAATGTAAGCTATAATATGTTCCTTAGATAATCAAAGAACGGACAGAATATCACCAAGAAACTCGTGGAAAATATTTACATGACTTTTCATGTTCTTATCAAAATAACACTGGTACACAAGCTACCGGTAAAGGTAAAAAATGTTTTTGACACAAAAGAATTGAATAGCAAATAGTAATAAGAAATATTACTAATATGATAATAAAAATATTTTAATATTTTTGACTAAATTATATAGGAAAGCGAAAAAGGCTGGCTTTTTTGGATCTGCTGATAGCAGCTTCAAAACAAGGTCTTGGAATTGATGCTCGTGAAATTCAAGAAGAAGTAGATACTTTTGTGTTTGAGGTAACTGACGATACAAAACTACATTTAAAAATGATTATTACGAAGCAATGAGTTTGATAAAATCTAAATTATCTCAACATTTCTAGGGTCATGATACTACAGCAACTTGTCTCGTTTTTACCATTCTTCTCCTAGCAGAAAATAAAGAAGCACAGGTACTGTAATAATTAAAATTAAGACTGCACTTTCCTAACCTCAAATAACCTCAAATTTTTCTCGTCAAATTGTGCATTTTTTATTTGTTTTTTTTCAGTTGACAAATATTTAGGAATATTTAGGAAAGTGGTATACAGGTCGGAAAACAAAGATTGATTGTACAAGTGTAATAATAATTGTAGAATGAATAATTTTTCAATGAAAGGCTCATGACAAGTGCATCCGCCATGACACCCCGAAATTCATTGAAAAATTATTCATTCTACAATTATTATTACACTTGTACAATTAATCTTTGTTTTCCGACCTGTATATCACTTTCCTAAATATTCCTAAATATTTGTCACCTGAAAAAAACAAATAAAAAATGCACAATTTGACGAGAAAAATTTGAGGTTACTTGAGGTTAGTAAAGCCTTAATAGTGATTATACTTTTGTTAATTATACCATTTGATAAGTGGTAATTAATTATCTTTACTCAGAAAAAATTGTCTCTTTGAATTTATTCCTAATTTCTCAATAGAAAATTTGTTTTTCTTAATAAAAAATTATAATCATAAAACATTGTCTATTATAGACACGTGCAAGAGAAGAAGTTATTGCAGCGCTTGAACAAAATGATGGAAAATTAACTATGGATGCAATTCAACAATGCACGTATTTAGAGCAATGTATTAAAGAATCATTAAGACTCTATCCAAGTCTTCCAGTTATTGGTAGAAAAATTGATGAAGATTTACAGCTAAGTAAGTATGAAAGCTCGTTAATATTCTAAAATTTTAGTTTATTAATTTCAACTCTTGTAAATTTTATAAAAGTAACAATTGATGAACAAATAAATAGAAAATGATATTTATGTAGTATTAATTTAATTATTTCTTTTTTAGAACATGCTTTCATTCCAAAAGGATCAATTGTAGTTATTCACATATTTGATGTTCATCGTGATGTTAATTTCTGGTCACGCCCTAACGTGTTTGATCCAGATCGTTTTCGACCAGAAAATACTGAATCTCGACACCCATTTGCTTATGTACCCTTTAGTGCTGGGCCACGGAATTGCATTGGTAATTTATTCATTTTTAATTCATTTAAATTTTTGCTACGTAAGAAGCGCCAAAAATTTTTGACTTTTTCGAACTTTTATAGTGTTTTTTATTTATTAAATTTACAAGTTTTCGTGAATACCTATAAGTTATATCTTTTTAATATCCTCAATATATTTTTTTCATTAAAATAAATCTGTTTTTTTTTATCTACAAGCCAAGAACTTTTGACTCTCCCCACATAAAATATTTAATGATGACTTATTTCTAAATATTCTTATTCTAGGACAAAAATTTGCAATGCTTGAGCTAAAATTGCTTATAGCAGGACTGCTACAAAATTTTTACATCGAACCCGAGGATGTAACTTCTAACATCAGTATTCTTCCAGATCTCATGTTGAAACCAGTTCAACCAGCTCATGCTAAATTCGTTCCAATCATGAGATAGATAAAAATTAGTATTATTGTAAAAAAAAGTACAAATAGTTAATTAACATAAATATTTATACTCTATAATAATAAATAATTTTCTATATTTAATTTAATTGAAAAAAGTGTGCGTCAGTCAGAAACTAACGGCGTTTGAAGTGAAACTTTTGATAGAATACAAATTAATTATTAATGAATTTCAAGCTGGCCGCTCCGTGGGGTTGCCGCGCGTAATAATCGGGCCAGGGCCGAATCACTGTAGGGGCCCCAGGGGCTGTACCGGAGATAAAATTTTTTAACAAAAATAAAAAAAAGCCGTATAAGTGACAATAAAATAAACAATTGAAGAAGGGTTAAAGAAGATCGTTTAGAAGAAAATTTTAGTCAATATGACGAACATTTCAACACTATTAATGAAGCATATTAGGCCAGCAAAGGATCTTCTTCCACATTCCTTGGCCTTTAAGCCATGTAAAGAATACTCAGAAAATTATAAAAAAATCATCTTTATTATTAATAATTATTAATAATTTCGTTAATTCTCTTTAATAATAATTATGATTAATTACTAATTTACTAATAATAATTTAACTTCTGTGCCCGGCGACTATTCTTAGTATCTCCGCTTTTTGCGGATCTTTGTTTACTTTTTCTGTCTCTCTCAGTCCATGGTCGAGCAATGGGCAATTAAAAAAAGTATAATTAGCTTAAAAAATTTTTTGGACTCAACAAGTTTACTCTCAATGTCAAAACTACATAGTGTGATATCCCATAAAAAATTTTACTTCAAAAGAATGAAGTAAAAAAAATATTTTACGAATTATGAAGAATTCTCGAATTGTACACCTACTTAAATTTCTCTAATCTTCTAAACTTTTTGATAAAATGGATATTCACTCAAAAAAACATCTCAACATTTGCATATTAAGGTAGTTCTTTCGCTCCGGGCCGTATCAAAAAATGAGTACAGGCACTCCAAAATATAATTTCTATTTTTTACTAAGTATTCCAATAAATAGCTGTAAATTTAATAAATTATTCTGAAGACTTTTTTAAATGATAATAAAAAAATTAAAAACATGAATATTGTTGTGTTTATAAATCTTTTTTTATTAGAGGGTTCCGGATTAAATTTTATACCTTCCTGATACAATACATGATACCGCGCCATGTACATACACGCACACACTACTAAACATAAGTTAATAGTGAGATCGTGACAACGTTGCATTTTATACTTCAAGCTAAATATAGTATTAGTTATTAAGTTACTTGTGAACTATGGGGAAAAAAGCATTATCAGAGTATTATCCAAAAAAAATATGCAAAAGAAACCAATGATTACTAAAGATAAAAGAGTTTTAACTACAATAATTCGTTGTTTGGGAAGTTAATTATAATATTATTTAGGAGTTTGTTATGAAAAGTATTTTTGAAAAATATAGAAAAGAAACCAATGGTTACCAAAGGTAAAATACTTTTAATTAAAGTCATATGTTGTTTAAGAAATTAATTGTGATATTATTTAAAAATTTGTTCTAAAAAATATTTTTAAATAATAAAGAAAAATAACTTATAGTTACTGAAGATAAAAGAGTTTTAACTTAAATAATATGTTGTTAAAAAAGTTAATTAAAATAGTATCTAAATTTTGTTATTGAAAGTATTTTTTTTACAACATGAAAATGTTATTCTCTACTTTTTTGTACCAACGAAAATTTTTTGTACTAGTAATAAATGAAACATATTATATATATATTCGTATATTTTAATTTTTCACGCTTGAACTTCGCGCCGAATGACTACTTCATAGCAGCTACAAAGTTGCCAAGTCATAAACACGTGAATGTCCCTTATTGGGAATAGTAAAAAATTTGTCATTAAAAAATTTTCAACTCCGTATTGACACGACAGATTGAGTCATTCTTTAGTTTAATATACGTGCCATAATTGTATGTCCACCCTGTAATTTTTTAAAATAAATCCATAGAACCGTTCTTAAATGAATTGTGAAAAACCTCGCCATGTGCTGAATTTACATTGACTTCAATGTGAAAAACTGAAATTTTTAATCGTTAATAACTTAAATTTTAATCAATAGAATAATTTTTTTTATTTGAGAAAAAGTTTTCTTTTTTTATTATCTTTATTTCTAGATTGGTTAAAAAAAAATCCTAAGAAAATTTTTATAGAGAACGAACTACCTTAATTGATATAAAATAATCATTTATTTGACTTTCAAGTGTCTGGACCAACCTGAATTAACATTACAAAGACTGTCAGGTCACACAACAGAAAAACTGAAAAATTTCACCTACTGAGTTCACGTAAAGTTTTAGCTACTCTGTTCGTTGTAAACAATCATTCTGAAGTATTGTAAATTCAGTCACTTAACTTTTATTTATGTACAACTATTAAGTTATTTCGCAAATATTTTTATTAAAGTCAATCCGAAAAAAATGATGAGATTCATTTGGATCAGAAGAAAGTTAATGTTTTATTCAAGTGGATTTAATTTTTTTCTCTTGATTCAATTTAATCTGATATTTTAGTTTTGTGTGATGAAATGAGATTATTAAATACAGTAATACCTCGGACTTACGCGATAGGTGGGACTGAGCGCTATCCGCGTAAGTCAGGGTATTACTGTATAATGGAATTTATTTGAATTCATCAGATCTAATTAAATTTGGTTGGATATGATCAGTTGGTATTATTTCATAAAATCGAATTGAATTTAATCAAACTAATTTTAGGATCCAATTGGATCTGATAAGACTATATTTATTTTGATCGAATTGTTTTTCTCGAGAATATATGATAATACGTATATTTATTGATTAATACGTTGAGCAATTAATAATACCACCACGCTTTAAGGCAAATGTTCAAATTAATATGAATTTTCAATCGTTTATTTTTCGTTCTTCGCCGTTAGTGATTACCGTTGTCATGTTTTTGGAATTTGCATCCAGTGCTGCATTTGTTTGCATCTTTACCAAATTTAGAATGATAATAACAGATGTCAGATTTATTGTAACACCATTGCCTCGATTGACTACGAGAACGATCTCGTTGTCGGCTTCTTGAACGACTGCGTTGTTTTCCAGACCATAACCTGCGCTTCAGGGAAGCAACTTGCCTGGTCAGCTCGGTAACTTGTACTGCAAGATCAGGAGTTGAAGTTGATGGTGTTGCAGCTGCAGCTTTAGTTGGTTTCTGATTCGCAATAAATATATCGTGAATTTTATCCGCCATTCTACTGAGTTTGTCCAGAGATTCATCAGCGCAAATAGTCAAAAACATCTTAGTTTGATCAGGAAGACCAGACATCCATGTAGATTTCAAAGTTTCCTCATCGACGACTAGCATGAATGTTCTGAGGTATTGTAAAAACTGTGATGGAGTTCGATTTCCAATTTGTTCTCTTTCAAATTGTTTTTGGATTCTAGTTTCTCTTAATCGTGAAAATTTTAATATCAGCGTATTTCTCAAGACCTCGTATGGGTTTGTTATTGGCATATTAATAATAATATCTTCTATCTCAATGGCGTAACATGTGTCAATAAGTGGGACAACATGATAATATTTGTCGATTTCTGATGTAATACCCTTCATACGGAATTGAGTTTCTACTTGGCTGAACCACAAAGCAGGGTACTCAATGGAAAATAGGGGAGCCCGAATGATGGTCGAATTCAAGGCTTTCAAATTAGTCGAATGTTCTTTGTTCATCGTCGTCAAAAAATGTTAGGAAATAAATGAATATTACAATAGTCTTGAATTATGTAATCAAGTAACGCAAATTTACACTGTCACAAATACCTTGTTGTTGAATCTGTTGATTCAGAACATTCTAGAATTTTTATCATGGTCACGACCAAAATTGTAAACTTTTACTACGTAGCACTTAAAACACTTTCATTGCGTTGGTGATGTTCAAATGTCCATTAATACAGTATAAAGTCTTTTGATGATCAATGATACACGAATGGCAATACAAGAAATGACTAATACGAAAAAAGCACTCTACAAGCTATCAAGAATATAGGGAAATATTATGAATAGAAACAATAATTCATAACATTCCATAAAAGTCTATGGAATACGTTAGAGTTGTAAGATAGATTAAATTAAAATTGGATTTAATTATCAACAAATCAACAAGAGTAAAAAACCGGCATTCTTTGTTTGAAAGTCACAAAATTACTTTAGCAGGACACGAGAATATAGCATAATGTATCGTATGGAAGTCAGCAGTTCACTGATTGTAATGAGAATGTAAGAACTTATATTCGAATTAAGTGGGGTGATCGATTTGACAAAAAGTGTCAGTAAATATCGATCACGTCTAATCTACAATACGTTATTTGATCAATTATAAAATCAATATGAGTGTAGTAGCACCATATGTGTGCATGTTGAAATAATATTTTTGACAAAGTTTTAGTTTTTTAAAGATTACTATAATTTTTTTTTCTTTATACACTTGTAGACCTAAATATTTTCTCTTTTTACATACAAATGTAAAATATCTCATTAAATTAAACATTGTATTTCAAGTATTTTTTAACATGACATAAGGAAAAAAAATATTAAAAAGTTTTTGATTATATTTATTAACAAAAAAATAATAATAATAATGTATAAAAATTCACTTCAATTGTGCTTATAATTACTAAACACTATAGTTACTGTTTATTACTAGTTCTTATTTATTATCCTAAAATATTATTACACAATCATAATAATATCACAGGATTCGTCCAAGTAGTATACACACTTTTCCACACTCCGCCGTCCCTCTTACGGCCTAAAATACACGTCGTTATAATTCATCAACAATTGCTAACAAACATCAAATCAGATATAATAAAGGACAAACGCGTGAATTTATTTCCAAGGGTAGATTATTTTGATATGTACAACGTATTCTATCCATATCGTATTCAAAAACAGTAGAATCCCTCTAATGTTGACAATTCGGGCCAGGATCATTCGCTAATGTTGACATTCCCCTTTATCCCCACTTTTCATGCCTTACCTTTCTCCTATG